ATAAAAATCGCACTTGCTAGAGATAATTTTACAGTCAAACTTTAGTTAGTGGCTCCTTCCGGTCGTTTAATGCTAAAAAAACGGTAACGTTTGCGCCTCTAAATAAAATATGAATGGAATTTGTTGATCACATTTCTAGCTGTGTTGCCAAAAGTGATTAAAAAACGCACTTGCTAGGAATAATTTTCGAGTCAAACTTTAGTGGCAATAATTGTTTCTTCCGCTCATTTGATGCTAAAAAATGTTTCAAAAAAAGCATATCGTTGCCCTGAGGATGTTCAAATAAACATGACAAAACGTCGGCAATTGAGAAAAAGCTGGCTTTTATTTTTAGTTGTTCAATCAAACTCCGTGACTGCTGAGGGCGCTTTCGGAAAACAAATGGAAGAAAAGTGAAGAGAACTTGGAAATACTGAACTAGCGATTAAGGAAGCAGAAGAATAATGTTTTTTCTTGCTACAACGAGTTCAATATTGGCTTCAAATATTCATTCAAAAAGTGTCCATCATCTTCAAAAGTGTAGATTTTGAGCGTCTCTTAATCTTAAGGCGAAACCCTACAGTTTTTGACATCATTTTCATTAAAATTAGATAATTACCCAACATCAAACATTTATCTTTTCCTGAATAATTTACAATGCCGCAAGTATCGTAGGTTTTAGACGTTATCGCCCAGTTTCCAAAACTGCTGACGCGCTTAGATCATCATCCAAATAATTTGATTTTTATTTAGACAATATTAAAGATAATCAACTTCCAAAACAATCCGCGAGTGGCAGTCGTTCGGATCAACCAACATTGATCAAAAACTGAAAAATATTATTCGTTTGATTGTGAAACGTTCACAAACAAGGTGCTTGTTTCATCACTCGGTACCTTGAAAACACTTTTATGGCCACATGTGATCTGATTAACGCTCAACATGCATACGAATCAATCGGTTTATATGATTTTGTTGAAAAAACAGATTCACAATTGAAAAATATTGAGTGCTTCAGACTTCCGGGCTGTAGAGTGTGGCGTTTTGGTGTCAAAGATCCGCACATAAAAGTTTGCTTATTTCGAGCGTTCTTTTTCTCAGAACTCAGTAAAGTAAGAGAGTATTTTTTGCATGCATTGCGTAGGGCAAAGTCAAGGCTACAAGTGGAAAATGTTTCGATTTTCAGTCATCATCAGGCAATTTTCAGGAATTTTTTCAAATCATGGGTGGTTTTTGCAGACCCGAGTTAACTTTTCATTTCTCGCTCACTGTGTGAGTGAGAAGAAGTGAGAAAGTTAATTTTGGATGCATTTTTTAGAGAAAGGTCGCCCATATCAGTGGAGAAAGTTCCGATTTTGCGTCATCATCAGTCATATTTTGCCGATTTTTCAAAATTGCGTTTGCTTTTCTAGGTTGTTTTTTGCAAGCCGCAGTTTGGCATTTATCTATTTGCACAGAAAGTTGCAAAGGTATCGCGGCACTTTTGTGTGACGTATGTAGAGCGTAGTCTGCCCTATAAACGAAAAAAGTTTCAGTTATCAGTCATCATCAAGCAATTTTCAAGAATTTTTCAAAATTTGTCTGGTGTTCGTGGTTGTTTTTGCCGGCCGGTGTTTACCATTTATTTTCTCCTGAATTTGTCAAGTTTTAAAACTCGTTTTTGGCTGCATTTTGTAGGGCAAAGTCGCTTTTATGAGCGCAGAAAGTTTCGGATTTCAGCCATTATCTGGTAGTTTTTGAGAATTTTTCAAAGTTCCGGTTTGCTTACAAAGTTGTTTTTGCAGGCCAAAGTTTGGCATTTATTCATTCAGGAACTTTCAGAAAGTTTTTTTTTTGTTTTTTGTTGTTTGTTTTTTATTTTCCAGATTTTGCAAACCTCCGATGGACTTTTGCGGTTGTTTATGCTGGCTACTGTTTGGCATTTATTTTCCCAGAAGCCAGCGAAACTACAGATTCGCTTTTAAGTGCGTTTTTTAGGGCAAAGTGGCTTCTATATGTGGAGCAAGTTTC